ACTTTATACATGATGGTCGCTATATCTTGCAATCTACGGTTCACTAGGGTGGGCAATTTAGCCCATTCTAACAACTGCCTATAGTTAGCGTTCCAGTCACGGAAAACTGCCCTAAGACCCCTCTCCTGGACATGCTCCACTTTTCTTGCATCACTTCCCCTACAAAAGTGCCATACAGTACTGCAGTAGGTCAAATAGGGCAAGACTGCAGCCTTATACAGCTGCAGCTTAGCAGTGGTTGGTATCAAGTTGCGCAACCTTGTCATTACTCCCACTCTCTGACTAGCTTTTTTGCAAATCTCACTTATATGGACATTAAAAGTCAATTGAGAATCAATGCCTACACCTAATAATTTAATGTTCTGATAGTGGGAAACTCTATTACCGTCTATGTCAATATTGATATTGGCATCTTTTTGCTTGCTAATGAGCATGCTACCATATTTAGTAAATCAGATACAATGCATATACGAAGTTCATATATTTTGAACTGCGGTATTATTTACGTATAATGCACGATCCTTCGCAGTTGATAGCGCTATTTATGCAATAGCGAAAATCAGACCTGAAAAAAAAAAAAATACGGGATTCGAACCACTGACCTCTGCGATGGTAGTGCAGCGCTCTACCAATTGAGCTAACAAGCGAACTGGGAGCAGGCCGTAAAGTTGACTTAACGGATTAAGTTAACTTAACGGCCTGCTCCCAGTTGGCTTGTTAGCTCAATTGGTAGAGCGCTGCACTAGCATACGTATATTTAGTAAAGTTTCCCTGTAAACACTTCTCTTTATACCAACTTGTTGCTGCAACTTCATTCTCCTGTAATCTTCTTTGGATTAACTGGACATCTTTACTTGCTTCGAAAAACTGGTGATCATCTGCATACATGGAGATATTCGACTTCATTACATAAGTCAGATCATTCTGATAAAGATTCCGCATCTAAGGCCCAAGAGAAGAGCTTTGAGGGCACCCTCTTACCACCTTCCTCCATCCACTTGTTGTGTTCCCTTGCTTCACCCTTGCTTGGCGATTTTCAAAATATGATGCCATGAGTTTGAGGCTGACATCATGAAAACTGTATGCTCTTAGTTTAGCCAGCATGAGTGGTGGGAACAGACAATCAAACGCCTTACTCATATCTGTTGACAACACACCAACACACTCCCCATTGTCCAATGAGTGCCTCCAGCTCTCAGTCAGGTATAACAAGGCAGTCTCGCAACTGTTCCTTTTTCTATATGCAGTAAAATGGTCACACAGGCGATTGTTATAGTTACCAGTAATTTGGGAAGAAAGGAGTTGCTCAAAGATTTTATTAATAACAACTTTCACAGTCACAGGACGATAGTTTTCTTTGTGCAGTTGATCATCTTTCTCGTGAACTGGGGTCCATTCTCCCTTCTTCTAGTCAGTTGGCCAATGCCCCTGCTTAATGCAGATGTTAAACAGATTGGCAAGTGGTACAGCCAATTCACTAGCCCCAGATATAAGTGCCCTCGGGGGGATTAGGTCCCATCCCATAGCCTTACCTAGCTTCAGCTTTTTAAGCTTGTCCTCTACTTCACAAGGTTTAACGCTCTGGAAAGAGAAGAACTGACTATTATCGTGGTCAGCCGCCCTTATGGCCATCACACTGCTGTGATTGTCAAAATCACCCAGAGAGCACTTATTTATATCCAATTGGCCAATACCATCAGCAATTGTTGCAAAATACTCCCCAAAAGCCTCGGAGATGTCAACCTTATTACTACTAGCTTGCCCACTAATATTATGCTTAATGTCTGAGACTGGCCTGCAGTTTGACTTTGATGACAAGAAGGGCATAAAAGTTTTATAAAAGTCTTGTGGTTTGTTCTTAAGATCCTCGGCTTTCATTTTCCATTTTTCATTTTAGAAAATAATCGACTTAAAATCTGGCTTTTGGAAGGCGAAGTGTGGTTATTTTTTTTATCTCAAAAGGATTTTTTGGGGAAATGATTCAGTGCGATTTAATCAAATTTTGTAGTTGGATAAAATGAGCTGATTTGACGATGCCGTCAGTTATTCGAAAATGTTCACATTCACACGCAAACTCGACTGTTTCGCATTTTACATCCAATCTACAGCTTATTTAATATAATCTTACCGTCCATATTTCTGTACCACTAAAGGGGATTACAGTCCTGAAATTGTTGCATTGCTCCCATAGTAGCGTTATAACTTGGCAGGATAGTCAATTCCTCCTGATAATGATTGTTTACAAAGCGTATCTCAGGGTTTCTCTCTTTCCATTTTAATTACTTCACGTGAGAGATCTTTGTTTAAATATAAGTCTTTAACTAAACCGCGAACCAAATGTTGGCGAAATGTTGCCAGTTCAGAAACATGTTTCTCGTGAGCGGAATAACGCTAATTAATTCAAAATTAGGGTCCACAGAAATCGACAACTCCGCAAAAATACAACTTTGGACTGTGAAGCACGTGGCTGCAGGAACTAAGGTCGAGTGTTACATAAAGGAAACAGGAGCAAACAATTATTTAACTCCGATCCTTCTTGAGTTCATATTTTTATTTTGTAAATTATTGTTTAGGTTGGTAAAGCTCATTTTAGGACAAAAAGAACGAAAGATAAACCCAGTTCGGTGATTAAAACCTCTGCTTGCTACAATACTGCTGTATTTTACTGTTGATTAGTTTTCAACTTCCCTGCACTCTTACTAAATTTTCTTCTTCAAAATGAGTTACAGTCAAACCTATCAAATGAAATTCAGAGGGGTGTTTTTATCGTTAATCGCTGAAACCACACTGAGTATCTATAGAAACACTTGGTGCTTACTTTGTGTTAGAAGGAACCGGTCGAGATAACAATTGCCTCGAGTAGAGGTGAGAATTTTAAATAATTTACAAGTACTTTTTAAGACGCTGAAAAATTGAATCGTTTGTTTCCTCTTCCTTACTATTTTAATGTTTGATTTATTACAGAAATTACCTTGAAACTGGCATTCTCGTTTACCAATAAAATGAATTGCAGAGAAAATATGTAAACTCTGCAACAGCGTTGCGTGTCGTTCTCCTCATAAGGATATCTGCTGCTCGTTCAAAACTATAGTTAGAGTACACTGTGACTTCGACAGACGATCCAGAAAATGGGAAGCAGTAATTATACCTCTTCTTGCCTGTTCAAGGCGGATTGAGAGCAATTCCGCTAGCCTCGGTTTTTCCGGGCCAAAAGACTAAGTCGACCTAGTTCTTAGCCGAGCAGCCATATTCTCTCCTCCTGCTTACGTACATTCCACGACAATTTGTCCCTCGCTTAGTGCAAAGCTTGGTTTGGGGTGAACGAAAGGCTCTAGTTCGAGGCGCAGAGCTCCTTCTGATATATCAAACCATGCTCAATAATATACCGTCATATGATGCCTTGATTGGCTTTGGACTTCTATAAGAAGTAGTCATTCACTTCTTAAATTTATTAGCTTGGAAGGAAGGATTTAAGGAGATTGGCACAACATGGGTTTGTTTACTTTCTTCTTTCTTTTCTCCCTATGGGCGTGAACATTCTGGTCTGACCAGACAACAGGCTTATGTTAAATTTTTTATTACGCATCAGCCACGCTCTATAATATTTCGCCATATAAAAAGAATGCATTGATGGCTTTAGACCCGACCATATTTGAGGGGATAGATCACTACTTGGCTACCTTCATGGGCAAGAATACTAAATAACTAACTAGTTGAGTTGAGTTGAGTTGAGTTTTCAAAGCCACTGTTTCCAAAATGCGAGTATTTGATGTGGGTATACCGACTCGCACTCGAGTCTGCTGTGTCAGCTGGTGCAATGATTACTCGAAGCGTTTCTTGAGTTCCGAGATACGCAGAAATGGTTTATTTCCAGATGTGAGCTTTTTTTGGACCGCTGCCGGGAAAAGGTGGGTGTGAAAAATGTGAACGTGCTACCTGGGTCGTAGTCTTACTACCGGAACGTGTAACTTAACAAGGCACAGTAGTCTCTGGAGAAGAAGCATTTTTTAATAATTTTTTAATTATAGACTAGTGAGCAGCATTTCTGCGAACAGTAGTTGTAAAACTTCTTGTATTTTCCTACGCGTTTCGTCTAACTGTCGTAGACTTCTTCAGGGAGTTTTAGAAGTATGACTTAGGCCCGGTTCAAACGTCGAACTTTACATGTGCCGAACCTAATTATTAGGTTCGGCACATGTGAAGTTCGACGTATGAATCGAAGCCGATCTTTTGCCGTTCTATTCGACTAGCTCAGTCGAATAGAACGGCAGAGTCGACCCAAATACAAAAGTGCCGTTCCTAATTGATTCATACGTCGAACTTCACATGTGCCGAACCTAAT